TCTTTTTACCCTTCCCCCTTAGAACCCATCGAACCCAGTAGCCGCCGTTGGATTCCTAGGATCCTTGGCACTGGGTTCATTCAAACCCTAACACGGGGTTCCTTGGAACCCAGGCGTAGGGTTGGCTCGAACCCAGGCGCGTGGTTCCTTGGAACCCAGGCATGGGGTTCCTTGGAACCCTGGCACTGGGTTTGATCAAACCTTGGCGTTGGGTTCCTTGGAACCCAGGCCTGGGTTCGTTGGAACCTTGGCGCGGGGTTCGTTTGAACCTTGGCACTAGGTTCCTTGGAACCCAGCCACTAGGTTCATTCGAACCCAGGTGTGGGGTTCCTGGTAACCTTGGCGTTGGGTGGAACCCAGGCCTGGGTTCGTTCGAACCCTGGCGCAATGTTCCTTGAAACCCTGGCGCGGGGTTCATTAAAACCCTGGTGTTGGGCTCGTTCGAACCCTGGTGTTGCATTCGCTTGAACCTAGGCACGGGGTTCCTCGGAACCCAGGCGTTGGGTTCTCGAACGAACCCAGGCGCAGGGTTTGTTGGAACCCTGGCGCTGGGTTCGTTGAAACCTAGCGCCTGGGTTCGAACAAACCCCGTGCTAGGTTCGAAAAAAATTGTTGTTTTTTTTTTTTCGTGGGTTTTGTTGTTTGATGATAAAAAAGAATTGATTGATGAAGAATAGAATTCCATTTCATTGAATTAATTGTTTGACTCAGAAAAGTGATGATAAAAGTTGTCTCGGAGGAGGCAAAGAGAGGGAAAAGAAGGATGAATGAAGAAGATTCAAGAAAGAGGATGTTGGAGGAAGAAGATGAGGGTAAAATTGTCATTTTGGTAGGTTACATGGCATGAATATAAGTTGTTATGTTGCCATGTCATCATTTTGATTTGACGTGTCTAAAATTTTTGCCATGTCATTAACTCACTATGAGTTAACGGTATGGAAGGACCAAATCAAGGTTAAAATGGTAAACAGTAAGGATCAAATCAGGGATTTTTTTAGTTCAAGTACCAAATCGAAGGTCTGTACAATAATTCAGGGACCAAAATGAAGTTTTAACTAGTGTTTTAAGACCCGACTTGGACTGGTCAATTGAACTGGTTCAACCAGACCTGAACTCAAAAACGAGCCAGTTACATACATCAGCTCGTTTT